ATTCCGAGGAAAGCATAACCTAGAATCTATCTTTTATATCTTGATTTATTTTTATTAAATTAGTTCTTAGTTTAATTTCATAGTTTAAAATCATCATCTCATTCGTTAGTCTAAATAATATTTAATCGTCATTATTTTAGTACTTAATTAATTTAATTACAATCTCTGTGGAATACGACCTTGCTCGCCACTATCTATAGCTACGCCGTACACTTGCGGATAGCAAAAATAATTAGCGAACAAAGCACTAAAGACTACAGTCTACATCCTAAATCGAGTACCAACTAGGGCGACTGCTAAAACACCCTATGAACTTTGAACTGGGCGCAAGCCTAGCTTACGGCATTTTAGGGTGTGGGGTTGTCCAGCTGAGGCGAGGCCTTATAGGCCAAATGAACCAAAGCTAACTCCTCGTACGGTTAGCTGTTATTTCATTGGTTACTCGGAACGGTCAAAGGGGTATAAATTTTATGATCCCACATCAAGAAATATTTTTGAGACGGGCACTGCCACGTTCTTTGAGGATGTTGAGTTTGGGGGGAGAAATACAGTTTCAGACTTTACTTTTGAAGATCAAGAAATCACCAAAGTGGTTGACCCGATCCCTCAAGAGGAAATAGTCATTCCAGCTCCCATACAATTTCAAGATACAATTGAGGAGACTGTTCATTTTGAACTCGAACCTCAACATGTACCTATAGAGCAAACTCAACAAACTCAAGAACACATAGTTCAAGAGCCAACGCATTTGTGGAGATCCACTAGAGAACGTAGAAATGCCATTCCGGATGATTATTTGGTATTTCTTCAAGAAAATGAGAGTGTGGATGGCTTGAATGAGGATGATCCAATCAACCTCAAACAAGTCATGAAGGATCCCAACTCAAATAAATGGATTGAAGCGATGCGTGAAGAGTATAAGTCAATGCAAGACAATAAGGTTTGGGAACTTGTCCCATTGCCAGAAGGTGCCAAACCCGTTGGTTGCAAATGGATTTTTAAAACCAAACGAGATGCAAATGGCAATTGGAGAGGTATAAAGCACGTCTTGTGGCTAAAGGCTATACTCAAAAGGAAGGGATTGACTATAAAGAGACCTTTTCTCCAGTATCTTCGAAGGACTCTTTTAGAACAATCATGGCTCTAGTGGCACATTTTGATTTGGAGCTACATCAGATGGATGTAAAGACGGCGTTTCTCAATGGTGACATTGATGAGACGATCTATATGGTACAACCAGAAAGCTTTGAGGTCGATGACCCGAAGAAAATGGTTTGTAAATTAAGAAAATCTATCTATGGGCTCAAACAAGCGTCTCGACAGTGGTATCACAAATTTCATCAAATAATTATCTCGTACGGTTTTGAAATGAATGTTGTTGATGATTGTGTTTATCACAAGTTCAGTGGGAGTAAATTTATTTTTCTGGTTTTATATGTGGATGACATTCTGCTTGCCACAAACGATATGTGCATGTTGCACGAAACTAAGAAATTTCTTTCGAATAATTTCGAAATGAAAGATCTTGGTGAAGCGTCTTTTGTATTAGGAATCCAGATACACCGAGAGCGATCTCGAGGTATTCTAGGGTTATCACAAAAGAGCTATATCGATAAAGTGCTTGAGAGATTTGGCATGCAGAACTGCAAACCAGGAAATACCCATGTGGCTAAAGGAGACAAATTTAGCCTAAGTCAATGCCCAAAAAGGAAATTTGGAAATCCAGGAAATGCAAAAGGTCCCTTACGCCTCAGCGGTTGGGAGCCTAATGTATGCTCAAGTATGTACGCGTCCGTATATTGCGTACATAATTGGTGTGTTGGGTAGATACCTTAGTAATCCTGGATTGGATCACTGGAAAGCAGCCAAAAGGGTGATGAGGTACCTTAAGAGAACTAAGGATTATATGCTCACATATAGGAGATTAGATCATTTGGAGATCGTTGGATATTCTGACTCCGATTTTGCTGGGTGCCAAGACAGTAGAAAATCTACGTCTGGGTACTTATTTATGTTGGCTGGTGGTGTCATTTCCTGGCGTAGTGCTAAACAAACACTTGTTACCACTTCCACTATGGAAGCTGAGTTTGTGGCGTATTTTGAAGCATCACAACAGGGAATTTGATTAAGGAATTTTGTCACAAGGCTGCGAATCATTCCGGAGGTTGAAAGACCTATTAAGATTTTTTTGTGACAATAAATCAGTCGTTCTGTACTCCAACAACAATAGGAGCTCGCCTAAGTCAAAGCATATTGACATTAAGTTCCTAGCTGTGAAGGAGAGGGTACAAAGTGGTCAAATTTCCATCGAACACTTAGGGACAAAAGCTATGTTAGCAGATCCCCTAACTAAAGGTGTGACACCTTTGGTATTTTACGAGCATACTGCTCATATGGGTGTGTTACATATTCAGGAAGCTTCACTCTAGTGGGAGTATTTGCTACATATTTTGTCATTTTTATTCGATGATACATAAAGCACTTATTCTGATCAGAAATAAAGTTTTGGTTCATGACACTTTGTACATTATGTTTTGGTACTTAACGATCTCATAAAGTTTGGACTAGTTGAAAATTGACATGTGTTGATCACATTCATGTAATTTTCATGCCACATGTTCCACAATTTGATCTATGTCATTTAATCATGGTGATATATGTGATTATTGATAGTTTAGTTGTGTCTATACGGCGAAAACTGCTTTAGTCCTATATTATTGTGATTAATGGACCAGATTGTTTAAGTTCTGTAATAATGACCATATTTTGAGCTCATAAGGTATAATGTATTATCAGGACACATGTTTAATCCAGTGGGAGATTGTTAGATCTATTTGGGATTAAATATGTGTAATTAATACATTGGGTCATTATATTGTTTAGCCAAAATAAAGTGATCAAATTATTGTACATTGGCTAAGGAACTTAATTTAGATTGTGGAATGATTAAATGTGGACACTCGGTAATATTATTATTTGGTGACGTAACAAATAATAATATTAAACTTAAGGACCTAAATAACAAATAATTTGGGTCAAAATTATTTATGGGTGGAGTATCCAAAAGCCGTGAAAATAAAGTGATGCCCATTCGGATAACCCATAAAGAATAATTAAAATAATAATAATAATAAATAAATGAAAGTTGTTGGTAGTTGTTTGCCGACACTATCATTATTAAATGTGATTAGTATTATTAATCATTATAAAGAGGGTATTGGGCATCATCTTTCTGATAAGGAAAATAAGCTAAAGTTCTTTTTTTCGTACGTCTGAAGGAAATATAAGGAATAATTCACGGTCTTTTGGAAGATTTTCCAAATCCCAAATTTAATTAATCAGGCAACATGAATTCATCAGGTATGCTTCCGCTATTCGGTTATAATTCTTGATTATTCAATATGAAAGCTCTTGGGATTAATCGACTTATTTCGAATAAAGTTAAAAATACAGTTTCTATCAATCACAATATAAATGTACTATTCAAAACTATGTCGGGTCAATCTGCCTAATCGTTGTCTGACTCACATAAGCATTTGTATTGAAACTTGGAAAATGCATAATGGAACTCGAGGTTGAGAACCATTAAGCGTGCCTAATAGCAGTCTTTAATGAGTACTTCAGTTTGAGAACACATTAAAGACTGCTGGAACACATTAAAGGGTCAGGGGTAATACATAAAGACTCAGGAATCTTGTAGGACAGAGTAGTCTTGGCCAACCCTTTTAGCCTTAATTATAAATAGCCTTTATGCATTGAAATCTTAATGCTCACATGACCCTGAGATAAAAGCTCAATCCTCTGTTACACCCCAAATCAGGATACAACAATGTCTGCTCCTAAGAATCATGTACAGTTTACCTTGAAAGTCATGATCAATAAAGATAAAACCAAGGTTCTCTTTGCAGAGGCCGACAGCGATTTTTTTGACATTTTGCTGAGCTTCCTGACATTGCCATTGGGAAAGATCGCGAAAATCGTCGTGGATCGCTATGGAGACAACACACCATTGGCAGTCGGTAGCTTGACCTCTTTGTACAATAGCCTTGCCGATCTTGATGTGCTTCATTTTCATACAGAGACAGGTAAACAAATGCTGCTAAACCCGAGAAGCGTGTTTGATAACGAATGCTGTAAGCTGAAGCTGAACCTTAATGATTCCGAGCCGACCAAGTACTTTACATGCGGACGGCCGAAGAGTAGGAAGCACAATTTCAGCATGTACTATGATACTGTTGGATGTGATTGTGGGAAAACTATGAGCAAAGAAACAAAATTTTTATCATCTGAGGCTGCTGAAGATGGCAATGATGATCAAGCTTTTTGCAGGAAAGGTGCTTCCTTTATAATCAGTAATGATATGCGGTTGGCGCTGACGGGGTCAGTCTTAAGGACTCTAGCAGAACTTGGTATTAGGGACACCAAAGGAGCCGAGATGAGGAATGTGACATTCGGATATAATGAGGTGAGTCTTCATTCTATTGTATTGAACTTTGTATTATGTGTGTTTGATATTTATATATCTGCTAAATATATTAATTGGATTTCAACATATAGTGTGTTTAGTATTATATATCTGCTAAATCCATTACTTGGATTTCAACAAATAACTTAAAGAGCATTTTACTAATTAAAACCGAGGTGCCAAGATAATTGAGGGACCCGTTGATTTTTGTTACCGTTGTCATTGCTCTTTGAACTAGATTATAGATTTGCTTCAAGGCATGTTCGTGTCACGGACTCCTTTGACCGACGTCATAATCGGCAAAGCTCAAAGTAACTCTCGAGTTCTCATCCCCAAGACAGAGGAAACTACTGTTTCCAACTGTGAGAAGAAGATGATATTGAATGTAATGCTACAAAAATCTACGCAAAAGTTAATATTTGCGCAAGCCAAGGATGATTTTGTCGAATTTCTCTTTAGTTTGCTCACGATCCCACTCGGTGGAGCTTTGTCACTTCTGGGGACCAACACTGGCGCTACGAGTTTAGACAATTTCTACACGAGTGTAGAAAATATTAATGGCGACGAGTACTTGAAGACTAAAGATACAAAGGCGAAATTACGGGATACGCGACTACCTATTGGATATATGTCCCCAAACCAACTTCTCCCTCTAACCGAAGGAGGATATCGTGAACTTCATTATAGTAGGCCCTCTGAATATTATCGGTGTAATGGTTATTTGTCTCCTTCAACCATTACATATAGGCGGTCCAGGTTGCTTCGTTACAAATCTCCAAAAGGCAATGGGAATTACGTGAAGGGGCCAACAATGTATATGGTGACGGATGATTTAACCGTCACTCCATTGTGTGTGACCTCAAGCCTGTCTATTTTGGACCGGCTGGGAATCCCCTTGTCTGATGTCCGAGAATTGGAGCTTAACATTGGATTGGAAGAGGTAACTATATATTTCATTTGATTTGTTTTCATGATGAGAATTTTTTCCCCCCTTCCATTAGTTGATTTTGTTCTTATATCCACTGTAGGTTCTGAGCATTTTGAAGGCATCTCTTACCTCAACTTCCGCCCTGACCAATGGCCTTTTCCGTCCGTCACCGAAAAAGCGTGTGAAACAAGAACACTGAGACCCATGGTGAAGGTTCTCTTGATGGTTGTTGTTCCTAATCGAAAAAGCGTGTGAAACAAGAACACTGAGACCCATGGTGAAGGTTCTCTTGATGGTTGTTGTTCCTAATCAGTACTACAGTTTTGGTGATCTATGTTTTCTCCTCATAATTAAGTATGTTTGGTTTGGTTTGGTTTATAAAATTGTGACAAAATTTAATTTTTGGTCCAGAAGTTTGCTCTATTCAAAATTTAGTTTGAACTCTAATTCTTTATATTGAACTTCTTATTCTTTATCTTGTTGATAATGAGTTCTTCAGCAATAGTACAGTTCAACTGGCTTTAGTTCACCGTGTGGTATATCAATGATGCCAGAATACTTCTATAGAGTAAGTTTCTTTCTCCAGCAAATTAAAATGCAAATGCAAAATCAACCTTGCTTATGCATATACAATTCCATGCTTTATTTAACGTATGCAAAAATCTCATCTAAACTTTCATATGTCCACGGGAGTTTCATATTTAAAAAAACACATCGAAACAGGAAAATTTGTCGCTTCTGCTTTAAAGATTTCGGGTTCCCCTTAATGTTGAGTCATGCCCTGTCAAATCTCAAATACATCTTGCCAATTATCCTTACTCTGTCTGCAATGCTTTTGTGCTCTGAATCATAACCCTGGTCGAGTTGAACATATCATCATATTTACATCTGTTGCGTACCAAATGCAATATGCGTTCCAAATGCAATATAATCGTGTCTATATTTGAAATATCGATCAAAACCTTGGATTTTATGGGAACATGATGCATGGAGATGTGAATCAATTATCCAAGGATTGACAAATTAAACTAGTTAAGTATATGCACGTACATGTTCGTGATCTGTGACCTGACTTACGGTTAATCAATATCATGTTAAAATTTCTATTTTGCTTATATCAGGCAGTTCATACTAAAATTAAACGGAAGTCCTTTTACTATCACGTTATACGAACATTTTTTAGGCATTATTGATAGCCGTAGAAGCCCAGTTCAGTCATAGGAGTAGATAACATCAAAATAGGCAATCTTAATTTCATATATTCGCTGAGTGTCTTGAAAATTGTGACATGAAACCGCAATATGAAATTACAAAAAAGTAAGACTAGTAATGAAAACTATTGCACGAGCACCAGCTGGGGTCACATATATCTTCAGCCCTCTTGCTTCGGTTTTTTCATTAAAAATGCAGTGATAAGGCCATCTGTTAAGGCGCGAGACGAAGTCAGAGATGCTTTCAAGTATGCTCAGAGCCTGCACCAAAAAGCAAAAACGAATCGATTATCAGTATAAATCAGGATAAAGAGCAAAAGAGCATATTCACAGTCAAATGTAACCTCTTCCAAACCAACAGCCAGCTCGAGTTCCTTGACTTTGGACAAAGGGATTTTAAGGCTATTGAAAACGGAAAGGCCGGAGGTGGAAGACAAGGGAGTCACAGTTAAATCGTCGGTCACCATATACATAGTTTGTCCTTTTACATATTTTGCTTGCCTGTAGAATTAGACACCCATTGGCCATTACTCTTCCTCACATTGCCTTCCGGAAACTTATAAGAAGACACATAGAAACAAAAAAATTGGTGCAACGAGGGTAAAGGTGACAGAAAGCCTTCTTTATCATAAAAACAATAAAAATCAGGAACATATATTTCAGTTAGTGAGAGAGAGAGAGTGTTCTTGAATAGTAACACATTGGTAACTTAGGCTGCAGTAGCTGGTCTTTGGTTTTGTCTATGTTCTTCAAATACTTGTGGATTCCAATATTCGATACGCTTTTGTACAAATTGTCTATATTTGTAAGACAAGTGACAGTCCATTAGCCACTCGACCCTTCCTAAGGGAAGAGCCAGCAGGCTAAATAGGAAACCCACGAAATGACCATCAACTTCAGCAAACAGTAGCTTATTAGCCGATACAATGGCTTTCACAGTAACTTTCTTAGCACTGAAAGGTTTCATCTGTTTTTTGATCAGATCAACTGGTATGACACCTGTCGCGTGGTTCATCGGCTTTTGGTGGAGAATAAGTTCCGTGAGTGGTGCCCGAGAAACTAATAACTCCTTCAGCAAATCCATTATCTACTAAAAATAAAGCTTGCTTAGTTAAACAGTAGAAGACTCATAAATTTGGTATTATTATCTAAAGAGATGGAAATTAATCACTCACCTCATTGAATCCGAAAGTCAAACTCCTTTCCTGAATCCCGACTGTATCTGTAATGCCTAAGTTGCTGAGAATTTGCACAACAGCACTAGGCAATATTTAAAGATCATCAGTAATGATTAAGGATGCTTTACTTGCAATAAACACCCCGCCGCCACCATCGTCCACGCCTCTCACGTAAATGTTTTTGTCCAACGGCTTTCCGCAATCGCATTTCAATCCGCTGAAGTACATGCTTACAGTCGGAAAACAGTTTGTGTCTCCACATATGAAGTACCTTGTGGGAGGCGTGTCGTCAACGTTGATTTTCAACCGACGACATTCAACCTCAGACGACCTTATCGGGTTGAGCAGCAGGTTCTTACAGTCCTCCAACAAGAAAAAACCATTGTCCAAATTGCGTAAGCCATTGTACAAAGTGGTTAGGCTTCCTACAACAGGGGCCTCATCACCATAGTGTTTGTTCAAGACTCGAACGATAGTACCCAATGGCAACGTCAGGAAGCTCAACAACACATCTGCGAAATCGCTATCGGCCTCCACGTAAAGAACCTTAGTCTTTTGCTTGTTTATAATGGCCTTCAAGGTGAACTTGAAATCTTTGGGGTTAGACATTCTGTAGAGAGGTTTATGTACAATAGAAAAAGGGTCAGATAAAAAAGGATTGATGACTATAGCAATATCAAGATTATGTTGTTGGTCTCTCATTTTTATAAGCACAAAAATAATCCAAGGGTCACTTTCACTAATTTTCATTAGACCTTGACTTTCACAGAAGAAGCGTATCTACATCATCATCGTCGTCATCATCATCATCTAGTGATAGTGATGGCCCAAACAATATCCATGGGTTGCACGACGCCCAAACTTCACGCCTTTCGTATTCGTAGGTGAGTCGGGAGAAGTTTGGAAGAGTATTATTATTATTTTTAGCTGATGATTGTAGTAGTGTGATGGAGTTGTTTTGCGTAGAGAGAAGAGAACATTCATCATCTGCGACCACCATAATCATGAGATGCTCAGTGTCGTTATGCATCAAATCGGGACCAAGCTTTGCGGGGATACGAGAACCTCTAATCATGAGATGCTCATTGTTGATGTTGTTGTTGTTATGCATCAAATCGAAACCAAGTTTTGCAGGAATACGGCACCGTTTAAGAGGAGGAAGATGATGAGAGCGGGTAGAAGGAGGAGGAAGACGGCAAGTCCAACTCATGATCATGGCAGGAGAAATTCGTGTCTTGTCTCATGTGTAGGTTAACAAAGCAGTTAGATGAGAAATAATGAAAAGATTAAGAAAACTGAGTCAAGGATCATGGTACAAATGAGCTAATGTAAGATATGTTTTTACATTGTTTATCAAAATCATAGTGTTTGTAGCAAGTGTCCCATGGATAACATATGAGAAACAAAAAATAATCAAAATTTGAACTGTTACAAGTCTGATTAAAAAACTTTAGAAAAATTGGAATTTCATCTAACTCCTCTGTGTCCCTCTGTAAATTATAATTCCCACAAAATTCAAAACTCCACTCTCTAAATTCATCTCCACAGTTAATTCCAGCATTTTACATATATGCGAGTGACTTGCCGAGCACTAGAACTTAACTGGTAATCAATTCGTTTTGCTTTAGCCATATGGATATCCATAATCCAATGTTTTGATCGATATTTCTAATATATACATGATTATATTGCATTTGGTACACAACAGATGTAAATACAATGATATGTTCAACTCGACTACGATTACGATTCAGAAAACAAATTCATTGTAAACAGAACAACAATAATTGCAAATTGACAGGGCATGACTAACAATAATTGATAGTTTAGATGACATGCACTATTGCAGGAACCTTCGGCATTGGCCTCAGTGTTCTATTTTAACACGCTTTTTCGGTGATTGCTTTTTTGGTGATGGACCAGAAAGGGCATTGGTCAGGGCCGAAGTCGAGTTAAGAGATGCCTTCAAAATGCTCAGAGCCTACAGTAGAGATAAGAACAAACTCTAAGTAACTGAAAGGAATAATAATAATAATAATAATAATAATAATAATAATAATAATAATAATAATAATAATAATAATAATAATAATAATAATAATAATAATAATAATAATAAACTCTAATCATGAAAACAAATCGAACGGTCGAAATGAACACGCGATATAATGTATCGTCATAGTTACCTCTTCCAATCCAATGTTAAGCTCCAATTCTTCGACATCAGATAATGAGATTCCCAGCCGGTCCAAAATAGAAAGGCTTGAGGTCATGCATAATGGAGTCACGCTTAAATCATCGGTCACCATATACATTGTCGGTCCCTTCACGTAATTCCCATTGCCTTTTGGAGACTTGAGACGAACCAAATTGGACGTTCTATGTGTCACATTATTAGAATAAAAAGGGTTTGCATATGGCGCACGTTTCAAAGAAGGCGTTGTATTTGTCACAGTTAAAGGAGACGAATGAAGTTCAGGTAAGAGAAGTCCACTGGCTCCAACAAAATGAAGTTCAGGAACTCCACCTTCAGTTAGAGGGAGAAGTTGGTTTGGGGACATATACCCGATAGGAAGTTCGGTTTTCCGAAATTTGGTCCTGTCTTTAGTCAAGTACTTGTCTCCATTAATACTTTCCACACTCACGTAAAACTTGTCTAAACTTGTAACACCAGTGTTGGTCCCCAGAAGTGACAAAGCTCCACCGAGTGGGATCGTGAGCAAACTAAAGAGAAAATCGGCAAAATCATCCTCTGCTTGCGCAAACATGAACTTTTGTGTAGATTTTTGTATCATCACTTTCAATATCATCGTCTTCTCAGATTTGGAAACAGTTTCTTCCTCTGTCTTTGGTGTGAAAAATCCAGAGTTTCTTTGATGAGCTTTGCCGTTTGTCTTTGGTATGGAAACTCCAGAGTTAGTTTGAGCTTTGCCGATTATGACATCGGTCAAAGGAGTCCGTGACACAAACATGCCTCTCAGCATATCTATAATCTAGTTCAAAGAGCAAAGACAACAGTAATAAAAATCAATCAGTCACTCGATTATCTTCTCCCCTCCATTGTATTAGTAAAAAGCTCTTGTGGTGATTATTATTATTTTTTTTTTAAATCCAAAATGAATTTAGCAAATACAAAATATCAAAACACACATAATTAATTCAGAAAATTCATTACAGTAGAATAAAGACTCACCTCATTATATCCGAACGTCACATTCCTCATCTCAGCCCCTTTGATGTCCCTAACACCAAGTTCCGCTAGAGTCCTCAACACCGACCCCGCTACATTAGGTGCCACCAGCATATCATCACCGATTATAAAGGAAGCACCTTTTGTGCAAAAAGCTCGATCATCGCCATCTTCAGCAGCCTCAGATGATATAAAGTTTGTTTCTGTGCTCATTGTTTTCCCACAATCACATCTAACAGTATCATAGTACATGCTGAAATTGTGCTCCCCAATGGACGCCTGTCCGCATGTAAAGTACTTGGTGGGCTTGGAATCACAAAGATTCAGCTTCAGCTTACGGCATTCTTTATCAAACACGCTTCTCGGGTTTAGCAGCATTTGTTTACTGGTCTCTGAATGAAAATGGAGCACATCAAGATCGGCAAGGCTATTGTACAAAGCGGTCAAGCTACAGACTGCCGGTGTGCTGTCTCCATAGTGTTCCACAAGGATTTTCGCAATCTTCCCCAATGGCAATGTGAGGAAACTTAACAGTACGTCGGTAAAATCGCTGTCGGCTTCTGCAAAGAGGACTTTAGTTTTATCTCTATTTATCATGACTTTCAAAGTAAACTGGACATCCTTAGTAGCAGACATTGTTGTATCTTGATTTGGGGTGTAACAGAGGATTGAGCTTTTATCTCAGGGTCATGTGAGCATTAAGATTTCAATGCATGAAGGACTATTTATATGGCAAAAAGGGTTGTCCAAGAGTCTGTCTCACAACATTCCTGAGTCTATGTATTACCCTTGACCTTCCATTTCCCAAGGAAAGTTGAACTAACCTTGAGATTCAGTGCATTCTTTTATGAACTCTTTGAGAATGACTTCATATGACCTGAAGATGATGATGTCACAAATAAGATCAATTATGTGGACAAATGAAATTCTGTTAAAAGAAGAGGCACGACTCTTCATATCGGGTTTGTGTATTGGAAAACGAGTTGGGTCGAGCATTATCCTTACCGAGTAGTTCGACAAAGTTGAACACTTTAGACCATGCTCGACTGAACAAAAAAACGCAGATGCTCGAGATTAATTTGAAATTTGCTTGATTTCGGCTCAAAATTTGCATAACAAAATGTCTTGTTAAAAGTATTTGGATAATTTTATGTATAATCGAGAGACTTGTCGAGCACTCGAAATTATAAACTACAAGCTCGGCCTCGAGTCGAGCGTTGACTTGAACGCTCGTGAGCGGATCGACTCATTTTGAAGCTGACGTGGATGCGATTTTTTAATTAAGTAGCTATAAATACAGTACAAATCTTTTCAACAGTGTGTTGCCTCTACTCTCTCTGTCTCTCAGTTTCATCCGCAGTCATCGGCAATCGAGGTAAAACAAACCCTTCCCTCGTCTTCCTTTTTTTTTTATTTTGTCTGAAACATACAGATTTATCCCCTTCACAAGTCCTTAGAAAACTACAGCCCAAATCGCTTGATTCGGCCGATAGCCATTGTTTTCGGCCATGTTTATCAGACGGCCGTCGACCATCCACCGGTCGCCGCGCTTCCGCCGCTGAGAATCCGCCCCCAGGCGCTGATCTCCGTTACATTTCATCCGTACCTAATTTTGTGGTGTTTAGGAGTTGGAATTTCGAGTGTGCAGAGGAGAAACTTGGGTAGCTGATTGTTTGAATTGGTCCAACTGGAAAGTGATTGAGGGTTGTGCTTTGTGAAAATTAGGTCTGCTGCTAGAAATTTGGGGGAAAATAGATTTGTGTGTTTTGGTCTGTGAGTGAGGAAAGGTTTTGCCATGGGCACCGGTAATATAGCATTGACCCGACTACCGAACCTTTATCTTAACCATCATCAAGCCTCGACCGAAACCTTTTTTATTCCATATTCTAGTTATAATTTTACTAAAGTTATATGTTCCCTTAAGTTCTTTATTCCGAGTCGAGCCATCTATTAAGTCAAGTTGCATTTTGTTGTAGGACAAGGTCTTTACACAATGCAAGCATAGTTTCAAGTAATTTCACGAGCTACTATTCGAGGTGGGCATTTCTACACTTTAATCGCATGATATTGTTATTGTTATTATTGTATGTACATGTCATATGGCCTTCGGGCGAATATATATATGGGCCGACGCGCTAATGAAATAGGTGCACTTGAGAGTTTAGGTCAAGAAGTTCCGTGGTGTGCTTGCTGGCAGTGGGACACAATAAAATATTATAACTCGTTACTTGTCATTTCCTTATTATCCAATAAATGATTATAGTTTTGCGTGCTTTGAAAATTTTACAAAATGTCGTTTTATTAGAAGTTTATTTCTTTACAAATGTTTGGAATTGAGTACCGTTAAGTATAAAACATTTTACTATTCGAAGTTGTTAAAATAGCATTATACTTTATGTTAGAGGGTATTGGATTTTAAGTTATTGCTATTCTTGCGACCGTTAGTATTGGCTTTGTCATGTCTTTATTTTAAAAACTAGAGTACTGATTTTTTGGCAAATATTGCTCAAATTTCGTTAGAGCCTCTTTAAATTGTCATATTTTGCTCTATGAGAATCCGGGGCGTTACAAATTTCAAATACATCTTGCAATTATCGTTACTCTGTTTGCAATGCTTTTGTGTTTTGAATCATAATACTAGTCGAGTTGAGCATATCATTATATTTACATTGGTTGCGTACCAAATGCAGTATAATAATGTCTATATCTTAAATATCGATCAGAACATTGGATTATGGGAACATGATGCATGGAGATGTGAATTAATTATCCAAGGATTGACAAATTAAACTAGTTAAGTATATGCACGTACATGTTCATGAGCTGTGACCTGACTTAGGGTTGCTTATATTCAGGCAGTTCATACTAAAATAAAGCGGAAGGTGTAGTGTTTTCATCTCTTCAATTTTTCCCGCTTTTCTCATGTTTAAAAATGAGAACAGCATAGTCTTGATATTGCTAGTTATCGATCCTTTTTTCGACCCTCTTACAATTGTACACAAACCTCTCTACAGAATGTCTAACCCCGAAGATTTCAAGTTCACCTTGAAAGCCATTATAAACAAGCAAAAGACTAAGGTTCTTTATGTGGAGGCAGATGGCGATTTCGCAGATGTTTTGTTGAGCTTCCTGACGTTGCCATTGGGGACTATTGTCCGAGTCTTGAATAAACACTATGGTGATAAGGCCCCTGTTGTAGGAAGCTTAACCACTTTGTATAATGGCTTACGCAATTTGGACAATGACCTTTTCTTGTCAGAGGACTGTAAGAACCTGCTGCTCAACCCGATAAGGTCGTCCGAGGTCGAATGTCGTCTGTTGAAAATCAACATTGACGACATGCCGCCCACAACATACTTCAAATGTGGAGGCAAAAATTGTTGGTTTAGTAAATTTCCGAATGTGATCATGTACTTCAGTGGATTGAAATGCGATTGCGGAAAACCATTGGACAAAAAAATTTACTCTCACATGGACGATGGTGGTGGCGGGGTGTTTATTACAAGTAAAGCATCCTTAATCATTACTGATGATCTTCAAATATTGCCTAGCGTGACGAGTAGTGTTGTGCAAATTCTCCTCAACTTGGGCATTACAGATACAATCGGGATCGAGGAAAGGAGTGTAACTTTCGGATTCAATGAGGTGAGTGACTAATTTCCATCTCTTTATATAATAGTACCAAATTTATGAATCGTCTACTATTTAAGCATGCTTCCCCTTTTGATGTATGCATTTTGTTTTTAGATAATGGATTTGCTGAAGGGGTCATTAGTTTCCCGGGCACCATTAACTGAACTTGTACTCAGTGAAAAACCAATGAACCATGTTGCAATGAAGTGCGATATAGGTGTCCTACCAGTTGATCTGATCAAGAAACAGATGGAACCTTTCGGTGCTAAGAAAATGGCTGTGAAAGTCATTGTATCGGCTAATAAATTACTGTTTGCTGAAGTCGATGGTGATTTTGTGGATTTCCTATTTAGCCTGCTGTCTCTCCCCTTAGGAATGGTTGAGTGCCTATTGGGCTCTGTCACTTGTCTTACAAATACAGACAATTTGTACAGAAGTGTAGCGAATATGAGAAACGACAAGTACTTGAAGAACAAATACGAAACGAAAGCCCAGCTACTGCAGCCTCACATACCATTATGTTACTATTCGAGTAAACACTCTCTCACTGACTAAAATATATTTTCCTGATTTGTATTTTTTTTTATGACAATGGAGGCTGTCTGTCACCTTTGCCCTCGTTGCACCCATTTTCTGGTTGCTATGTGTCTTCTTATAAGTTCGGATGGCCAGGTGAGCAACTCTAATGACCAATGGGTGTGTGATTCTATATTTGCAGAATGGCAAGAAAAATATGTAAAAGGACCAACTATGTATATGGTGACAGACGATTTAAATGTGACTCCATTGTCTTCAACATTGGGCCTTTCCGTTTTAAATAGACTCAAAATCCCGTTGTCCGAAGTCAAGGAACTCAAGCTGGTTGTTGGTATGGAAGAGGTTAGTGCGAGTCACATTTAACTCCGAATATGCACTTTTGCTCTTTATCCTGAATTATACTGATAATCAGTTCTTTTTTGCTTTTTGGTGTAGGCTCTGGGCATACTGAAAGCGTCTCTGACTTCGTCTCGCGCCTTAACCGATGGCCTCCTCAAACCATTGTTAAGGAAACAACAGAAGCAAAAGGGATGAGGATTTACTTTCCGCAATAGTTTTCATGACTAAGTCTTACTTTTCGCAATTGAATAGTTTGGATTCATGTCACATCGTTCAAGAATCTTTTGTTGTTTACTTATCAGCGAGTACATGAAATTTACCTATTTTAGTTTTATTTACCCCTACGACTGAACCGAACTTCGACAGCTATCGATAATGCTAGTGGCTTGAATCAGAAATGACGACACGGAGAATAAAATGATGAACCTTGAAGCTGGTTAAATGTAGAATGCAGATTGTAAAAAGTTTCTTCACTGCAGCCATTTTCAGCACAAAACTGAATCAAAAGTGATGTCTAGAAATCAAGTTGCTGGTTATGATAGTGATTGAGTATTGTACTCTTTGAGAATGACTTCATATGACCTGAAAATGATGTCACAAATGGGATCAATTATGTGGACAACTGAAGTTATTTTATTATTATTAAACCTATATGGCTGTTGGGCTGTTTCATTTCAAGCATCTAATCATATCCCACATTAGATATTCTACAGTTGATCTTTAGAACAACCTTTAGAGTGACGATTTCAAAAGCTTGTCCAGAAGTAGTCAATACTTATAGATTACACTAGTGGTGTAGTTGGCTGATTTTTTTTTTTTTTTTTTTTTTGGTACAGGGACCTTCCGGTTTCTGGATCCACAAGGGAACCGATTAATCCGGAATCGAGCCGGGTAGGACCAACAGATATTCCGATACTGTTGGCTGAATTATTTAGTCTCTCTAGGTTTCATAGAGGTCTAGCACTGGTATTCTTGGAAATGGTGTGAATTTCTGTTTTATATCCTTTTTTATATCAGTTTTGAAAATCAGATGTTGATATGTATCTGTCGTCAAAAGAGGAGGCACGACTCATCATCTCGGGTTTGTGTATTGGACTGCAAACGAGTTGGGTCGAGCATTATATCCTTATTGAGCTAGGCTGAATCTTTTCTTTACTACTCCATGAACTAGAGTTCGATAAGCTGAACAACTTCAGGCTATACTCGAACTCAACAAAAAAACTCAAATGCTCGAGATTAACTTAAAATTTTCTTGATTTCGGGTCAAAATTTGGATAACGAAATGTTTAGTTAGGAGTATTTAGATAATTTTACATATAATCAAGTGACTTGTCGAGCACTCGAACTTATCAACTACAAGCTCGAACTTGAGTCGAGCATTGACTTGAACGCTCGTGAGCCGCTCGATTCATTTGCAACCCTATCCACGAGCAAGCTACGGTCATGAACAAAAAAGAAGGGTTCAATTAAGCAATCATCATGGTACAAATGAGCTAATGTAAGATATTTTTTTCACATTGTTTATCAAATTCATAGTGTTTGTAGCAAGTCTTCCATGGATAACATATGAGAAACAAAAGATATACAAAGTATTGATCTGTTAAAAGTCTGATTATAAAACTGTACAAAATTGGAATTTCATCTAACTCCTCTGTACTCCCCTGTTTCCCTCTGCAAATTAAATCTCCCACAAAATTCAAAACTACACTCTCTAAACTCATCCCCACAGTTAATTCCACCATTTTTCCTCACATTTTCACAATCTCTAACTGTTATCCATCCCTCCTCTTCACACCCCCAATCCTCCATTACAAAAGACTCCACACACAACTCCCTAATCCTCTTCACCGGCTCACTCAAAAAATCCCCACACGAATCTTCCGAAAATCCTTCTTCGGCCGATCCCCAAATTCCCCGGTCGAGAACGCTGGTCGGTGAACTCATCCTGCCCGTCATCACCTCCTTCGCCTGCCCAAACCCAAACCCGGCCACAAATGGATGCCCCGCGAGCTGCCCGGCCGTCCACCTCTCTCTCGGGTCGACCCTCAAACACCTTCCGAGAAAATCCCTCGCCGAGCCCGACAAGAGCTCCGGCACCTCCGGCGTCTCGCCGGAAAACGCAATCTTGGCAAGCGTCGAAGCATCATTCGGCCACCACGGCGACCGTCCTCCGGTGGCCATCTCGATAACCGTGCACCCGAGCGCCCATATATCCGCCGGAAAACTCTGCTCCTCCCCACGGAGGACTTCCGGCGACATGTAGAGCGGCGTGCCACCGGTTACCGCCGCCATGTCATTCACCACGTCATCTGCCAGCTTGGCGCAACCGAAATCCGCGATTTTTGCCTCGCCTTCTTTAATCAAC